TTCAGGACATCTCGCAGTAGCCCAGGGTTCGGAGGATGTCTCAGGCGAAATGGGCCTGAGTACCTCGCGAACCACATCTTGGAATCCAAAGATGTCTCAGGCGAAACGGGCCAGAGCACCTTGCGAACTCTTTCTTGGAACACAAGAGTGTGAATTGCGAGGATGACTCAAGCCAAACGGCCAGAGAACCTCAAGTCAATGCACCTCGAAGCCCGGGGTTCCGAAGATGTCTCAAGCAAAACGGGCCTGTGCACCTCGCGAACCGCATCCTCAATCCAGAGTTGCGAGGAACTCTCAGGCCAAATGGTCCGAGCCAGGGATTCCAAGGATGTCTCGGGCGAAACGTACCCGACGTCCTCGCGATCCACACCTTGAAGCCCAGAGTGGCGAGGACATCTCAGGCGAAGCGGGCCCGAGCATCTCACTTCAGGGCATCTCGAAGCCTGGCCTTCCGAGGATGTCTCCGGCGAACACCCACGCAATTGAGGACACTTCAGGTGGGCCGAGACTGAGCACCTCAGGCCAGGGCATCTCGGAACCGGCGAAACGCGCCTGAGTGCCCCGTGCACCGCATCCTCAACCCAGAGATGCGAGGACGTCTCGTGGGGAAAGAACACACAGTGGGGGAAAAACACACACAGTGGGGAAAACACACACACACACACAGTGTGCGTTTTTTCCCCACTGTGTGTTTTTCCCCACAGTGTTCTTTCCCCACAATGTGTATGTTTTGTATGTTTTTTCCCTGCCAGACGGTCAGAGCCGTGGATTTCGAGGATGCCTCAGGCGAAAAGGGCTCGAGAACCTCGCGGACCACATCCTGGAATGCAGAGTTGGGAGAACGTCTCAGGCGAAACGGGCCAGAGCATCTCAATGGAGGGTATCTCGAAGCCTGGGGTTCCGAGGATGTCTCAAGCAAAACGGGCCTGGGTACCTCGCGAACCACATATTGGAATCCAGAATTGTGAGGACGTCTCAAGCGAAACGAGCCAGAGCACATCAACACGGGGCATCCAGGATGGATGTCTGTGGGCCTTGGGGCGCACCCAGCTCTTTTGAGGGCAACCCCTCCCCGGCACCTCCCCAGCACCGCTATGGTGGTTGATGGGGTCGCCCGCATCTGTCCCGGGCGACCCTGGCACCTGGGCTCAGGTGCACTCCCTCCCCCCCGCCGGCCAGCCTAAGCAAGCCCTCTGAATGGGGCCCAAAACAGCCCGCGAGGACCATACTGCTCCGAAATACACCTCCACCCCGTAAAACAAACGGACCGTTCGAGACATCCCCTCAATCTGAGCGCGAACGGGCCCGTGACACACCCTTCGTCGGCAGAGCACCAGCCCGCATCACCAGGCAGGATCGAGCCGCGTCCAGCCCTGGCGACGAGAAGCGTCCTGAAGGCATTGAAAACAAGAGCACTTGTATTATATCAATACGAGCCTTATCCTTCCTCCCCCTGATCCTCAGTCATCCTGCTACTCCTCCGCCCACTCCCCCTTCGCTTCGCACTCCTCAACGGATGCTCGGAATTACGGGGACGTCTCATGCGAAACTGGCTGGAGCCCCTCGCACAAGGCATCTCTGGGCCAAGAACTGCGGGGACGTCTCAGGCCAAACTGACCAGATCACCTCGCGGGCGGCATCTTCAAGCCTAGCGTAGCGACAATCGAAACGGACGAGGCACCCCCAGGTCATGGTATCCCCGAAACCATACGTCTGGAGGATGTTTCAAACGAAAGGGGCCAGACCACCTTTCGCGTAGCGTCTGGGAACCCAGAATTGCGAGAATGTTTCAAGCGAGACAAGTCGGACCATGCCAAATCTAGTCGTCTCGGAACGCAGACTTGCGACGATGTCTCATGCGAAACGGGCCGAACCAAATCAGGATGATGCCGCTGTCTCGACGCGCGGGCCCCTCGGGAGGCATTCGTTCTCTCCGCAACAAGATTCCCCCCCCCGCACTGGTCGGGCGACACAGGAATACTGCACGACAAAACCTAGTGAACGGAAACAAACAAGAAGTTCCCGTACATGTACTTACATCTGACCGCTCCGTATACAAAAAACATGTTTTGCGAGATATGCACGATCTGCGTGGCCCTACACTCCGCTGTGCCTTCCAGGAGCCCACGGACGTAGCGACGACTGCGAAGTTCGCAGCCCCCGACGGAGCAACGAGGTCTCAAACATCCACGTTGCCCTGCACTCCGCGGTGCCTCCAATGAGCCCACTAAGAGAAAGTGGTGAAAGCGGCACAGTTCGCAACCCCCAAGGGAGCCGCGAGGTCGCAAATGATCCACGTTGCCCTGCACGCCCCCGTGCCTCCCAGGAGCCCGCGAAAGTGGTGACGGTTGCGCAGTTCGCACCCCCCCGAAGAAGCCGCGAAATCTCAAACTATTTGCGCTGCCCTGCACTCCGCTAGACCTCCCAGCCGCCTACGAAAGAGGCGTTGGTTGCTCAGTCTGCAACCCCCAACAGAGCAGCGAGGTCTCAGGTGATCCGCGTGGCCCTCACCTCCGCCGTGCCCCCCAAAGAGCCCACGAGACAGGCGGCGGTTGCCCAGATCGCAGCCCCCGACAGTGCCGCGAGGCTTCCAATGATCTGCGCTGCCCTGCACTCCGCTGGAACCTCCCGGGAGCCTACGAAAACGGCGACGGCTGCGCAGTTCGCAGCAGCCGAGGGCGCACAGGAGGCAGGAGGCAGGCGGAGGAGGAGGCAGGGAGGGGGAGGAGGCGGGATGAAGGAAGGAAGAAAGGAAGGAAGGAGACGCGCAAATAGTGCTTTGTTCGAACCGAGAACCCAACACAGAAGCGTTGGGAACACACACGCACACAATTTCATGGGAACGAGGGCGCTCACGCGCGACCTTACTCTGACAGCCTGCGCGCCAAAGTACTAGATGCTCGCTCTGGGGAACCTTCTGGAGTCACTCGCTCCACTCATTTGTCGATGCTACGTTTAGGTCGGGCCTGCCCCCCTACAGGGGGATTTTGGATGAACAAATACCAAACAAATGCTCAAAAGATGCCCAAAAAAAAAAAAAAAAAAAAAAAAAAAAAAAAAAAAAAAAAAAAAACATGTTTCCAGACTATTTTTGAACTATTTGTGAATATTGCCCCTGTAGAGGGCCAGGCCCGACTTAATGCTACGTGTCGAACGTCCGTCGCCTTGAGTCGGACTCGAGTCGAGCTTGAGCCGAACCTGAACCGAACTTGAGTCGAACTAGATGGGGAAACGCAACGGTGATTACCGATATTGCTACTCCACGGCATTCTCCTGGGGTGCGTTCTGACCAGGATTTCGAGGCGAATCCAAGTGGCGACGAGTGCCTCCTCTGACTAGAGTCGAACTGGAATCGTTCACAGTCGAACAGGTCCGTCAGGCGGTCCCCAGCAAGGTCCCCCCAAAACGAGCACCTAAGCCAGTGCCCGCGCTTGAGCGTCGCGTAATGAGGGGGTGGGCAATCCATTTGGGGGGCAACGAGGGCTGCAGAAAAGATGCCTTTTAGGGCCCCTAAGGGGACCTGTAGGGTCCGACAAATGCACCTCTCTCTCCCCCCCTCAAATTTTGGGGCCGGGCGAAAGGGGGGGATAGCAAAGAGGGGGTTTGAGAATCAGCTCACGTAGCTGCGCCTCCCGGCGCCGGAGGCGGCTATGTATCGAGGAATGGGCCCCTCGGTGGGGCCGAAACCAGCTGCGTGCAGCAGATTTCGTACCCCCCCTTTCCCAACCCTCCCCTTCCGTTCGGCCCGAAATGTGCCTCCCATTCATTCGCGCCCAATACGCGCAGGCGACCCCCCTTGTTCTGGGCGCCGCTCACCTGTGCCGGCGCCTCCGGCCGGGGGCCCGCGGCGCCGGCCACCCCGCCGGCCCACCGCGGCGGGGCGGAGCCGCGGCTGCTGCAGCCGGGCGGGCCTGGAGCCCAAAAGCGGCCGCGGAGGAGGGAGGGAGGGAGGCAGGGAGGGAGGGAGGGAGGCAGGGAGCAGGGAGGAGGAGGAGGGAGGGAGAGGGAGGGAGGCAGGAGGGAGGGAGGGAGGAGGGAGGGAGGGAGGGAGGGAGGAGGGAGGGAGGAGGGAGGAGGGGAGGGAGGGAGGGAGGGGAGGGAGGGAGGGAGGGAGGAGGAGGAGGGAGGAGGAGGGAGGGAGGGAGGGAGGGAGGGCTGCACTGCAGCGCCGCCCGCCCGCGAAGGCAGACCATGGGCGCGGCCGGCAGAGGCCCGATGTTTCCCTGCAGCCCGGGGGTCAGGGTCTGCGACGCGCAAGCCGGAGGTGCGAGGCGAGGACTCTTCTTCTCTTCTCCTCCTCCTCCTCCTCCTCCTCCCCCTCCTTCTTTTTCTTCCTTCTTCTTCTACCTCCTTCGCCTCGTTCTTCGCGGCCGCACCTCCTCCTCCTCCTCCCCTCCTCCTCCTCCTCCTCCTCCTCCCTCCTCCTCCTCCTCCTCCTCCTCCTCCTCCTCCTCCTCCTCCTCCTCCTCCTCCTCCTCCTCCTCCCCCTCCTCCTCCTTCGCCTCGCTCTCCGCGTCCACCGCCTGGGAACCGACGTCCTGGTGCCCTGGCGGGCAGCGGGTGTGGATACATTTTGCCCCCTGGGGGCCCGAATGTATCCACGTCCACTGCCCAGGGAGGTCCGCGAAGATCGACCCCACAGGCGGTAGTTATGGGTGAATCCCCGCCTCGGAGGAGATGGTAGGAAGAGGAGGCGAGAAGTGAATCAGCGCCGCTGCCATACGCCCATCCGCCCCAGCTCCTTCCCCGTGGGCCCCCTACAGGGGATCCCTTCTCACAGCAGAGGCGCCCCCCTGAAAGACGAAGGACCAAATGGCTCTGCAGCGTACGCGATAGCCCCTTTTTGTTGGAAGGGAGTTGCTTGTGGATGCCTTGACAATGGACACCCCAACAATCCGATCAGTGAATTAACGATGCGTCTAACATGTTCGTTTAATTAAAAAATGTTCGACACATGTTTAAACCTGTCTCTCGTTACGAGTTTCAGACGTGGTTGGAAC